GCTGGTAGGAGCCGGCGCATGCAGGCGGCGGAGGGGCTGAGGCTCGGTCCGAGGGCGGGTCTCCTGGCCGGCCCAGGACTGTGTCCGAGCGCCCCTGCGTGTGGAGAAGCAGCTTTGCGGTGGTTGACGTTTTGGCCAGGCCGGCTGAGGGTGAGGACAGACCTGTCACAAGGTGTGGAGCGGGAATAACGCTCCCTGCTATCAGGCAGTAGCCGCTGGCCAGCGTTTCACGTCATTTTACCTCTTAATGGAGAGAGTAAAGTGTCGAGTTGGGGTTTTTCCCCCCAAACTCGACAAAATACTGGAAGGTTTAAAGCGATTGACGCTTGAAAACATGATCTGCGCAAGAAACATTTCTTCTTCCTCTACCTAATTTAGCATATATGTTTGAGAGAGAAAAATACTGCTTTTTTTTTTGAAATCAGTAGAAAATTGCACAACTGTATCTCGCAACTAAAGTTATAAAATGGATTAAATTGGGAGATGCAACCTAAAACGTTGTGGTTATTTGTACGAAGTTTTGCTTTATATGCACAAAAAATGCCTGGGCTTTAGCTGTGTTATTTTTTCCTGGACCAGAATTTTGTTCTGGAGCCCCTCTGAGGCTCCCTCGAAGAAATCTTTGGAATCCTCAGCAAGCACGTAAAAAATTCTAGAAATATTTTTAGTAACCTTTATTAAAGATGCCTGTTAATGGTTTAATTTACGTTGGCTGAAAGACATCAGAAAAATTGTTAGGTAGGTTTTGCTAAAGTTTTGTCTTTGTGTACTGATAGCTTGAAGCATACAAAGCAGAACTGCCAGTGAAAGGTGACTTTTGGACACCTCAGCAGCCCTTGCTGCATGCCCTTAGTGCATGGCTAAGTAGAAAGTTATATGGGGCATAAGTTAGTTACTAGAAGGACCGAGGGGGGACTGTTCTATCAACAGCTTGTGGAGAGAGATAATAGAGCCTTTTGCATCTAAAATACCAGTTCAAATCCCTCCCTTTATAGAAAATGGTTTTGCAGTCCTGGTCCTCCTTGCAGTGTGCTTGTTACTCTGAATAGTAACTCTTACTTCCCTGGATCTCTTGGAACAGATGTTATGTGATTCCAGTGGGTTCTGCATTCATGATAGCATCCAGCAAACTCCTACGTGCTGAATAGAGAAACTGGCAAAATATAATACACAGGAAAAGAGGATGGAGGAGAGAAGACAACAAGTGCTGCTCGTCCTGTTCGGTCCTTGTTCCTTTACCACCTGGACCACTTTGGTCTCCAGCCGACCACTTGATCATGAAATACAGATTAATCAGCATGTGGATGGGTTACCAGGAGAGAGATTTTGCCAGGGGTGAATTTAAGGTTATCCTACTTGTACAAATGTGTACAAATGAATAAAATTTAACTTTCTCTAGAAAGCATATTTCTTTTATTGGGCTGTGGCTTTCAAAGAAAAATAAGACATTCTCTGCTTCCTAATTCTGACTCATTCTTTGTTCATCACGATGTAACTCAACATTTAGGACACTTTGCAAAATTTATTAAATCGTTAATTTTTTAGTGTAAACACTCACCAACAGTTGAGATATTCAAAGGCGTACATTTTTGTAGCTCTCTGAAAAACAGGTCACTGGCATGAAATTCTGCTTACTTCTTCCATTAGAATTATAAAGCTTCAAAGAATGAAGTCATTCTCCAGACTTGAAATTTTGCATCACCTACATTAACACTTACAGGATGTTTTCTTCCTACAGGTGGGTGTAGCAGCAGATGCTAAAAAAAGGGAGGCCACATCCTGCACCTCAGCTGGTCACAGAAACCATTGTAAGTTCTTGTTTCTCTTCCAAAAATCCACAAAGTACTCTCAGCATAACTGCTTAAATACCACTAGGATGAACACTCAACAAATATGTATTTACATAGTGGCTGTGATATTTTAACTTTTAGTAAACGCTGTGGGAAATAAAACCCCTACATTTCACAGGCTGCAAAGCCAGCCACAATAACAGGAATGGGAAATACTTCTGAATAATTTTTTAAAAGACTTCCATGCTGATCTGTCTAGACAAATTGAAAGTATTTATTTCCATCTGCTTCTGGAAGATAACAAGCTTCAGAAGAAGGCCATGTGAGTTTTAGTCAGCCCTCTAATGCCCTCTAAACAAGAAATAATGTATTTAAATAATGTTTGTTATTTTTTTACTATTTATACAAGCAATAGATTTTTGAAGTATAATTGATCCTGGTGTCACCCCTGTCACTGCATTAAGCAGGTGGAAGTTATAAGCTTGGCTGTAAAAGTATGCAGTAAAGTTTCGTCATCATACTGTGCAGTCTTCTTCGTTTTCCTAATAAAACTTGATATATAGTACTCAGTTTGGGAGAGCCCTTTGCCAATGGTTCCATTCACAGTTGCAAAGTTACTAACAGTTTCCTCCACTGAAGCAAGCTGTGCAGCTTTCAGGCATCTGCGTAGGATGTGGTGGGAAGGTGAATGCAGGCAGGAACCTCTTTTCCTCCACACTTCCATGTGTGGGCCCATTTGCTAGCCTGCCTACACAGGGCTTGGGCACACTGTGCTGTGGGGCTTTTGCTGCTGCAGATCCTCTAAGAAAATTTAGAAGAGGGAACTGGTTTGGGTCAAGAAGCACATGGGTGTTTTTTGTGTTGGAGGCTGTTGGCTACAGAACAAATAACTCTTCCTGTAAGGCAGTTTAAAAAAATTATGTGAAAACAATGGTGTTATGTTAGTTCATGTGAAAAGTTTAGGGCATGCACATCTGGAGCAATTAGATGGGATCTTCTCAGACAATCTGGAGCATCTGTGCAGGATGCCTCCATAATGGCAGTGCAGTAACAAGGATGTCATGGTAATTTCTTTATATATCTATATTACACATTGGCTCAGCTTGAGGTCTAGTGTGCTGTTGCTGTTGCCAAAGCCTGCGTGTCCTTTGGCTTTACATTCCCAGCATTGTCATTCCTGGTATGGGTCTGCTTTCCATGACAGGATTTCCTGGAAGAGTATCAAAGCCATCTTAGCTCTGATCATTTGTTTGGCAGCCAACTGTCTGCCAAAGTACCCATTCACTCCATCAGATTTCAATCACTTGGCATCCAGTGTGTCACCAGCTCCTCCAGCTCTGTAACTGGGAGCTTGACAAATGCAGCTTTTTGAAAGAGTAAAAGATATCGCCATGCTATGAGCAAACAGCATTGGAGCAGGAAAGTCAAATAAACCAGAGAGTGGTTCAGGCTTCCAAATTTATTCCAATTTCCTAATCTTGACCAAGCAGTGACCAAGCATTTACCTTGTGACATTTTTTGCCACCACAAATTACCATTTTGAACTGACTTTGTAAGTATAAACTCACTTTATTAAATGACAGACAAACCCAGGAAATTTAAGTGGAAAATGCTCCTTATTTGGGAAAGTCTCGAAAATAATCTTTATTCTTTTCTGGAGCTATAAACACTTTTTGTGTGTGTCCTTGACCATCCTTAATTCAACCTCCTTAGCCTGACCTAAAGATATTTCCATGCAGGATCATCTGGGACCATCAGGATTCCCATATATGGCTCTGTTTTGGCACAGCTGCTTCCTTTTATTTCTTGTGTGTCTCGGTATGGTATCTTGAACTGTGCTGGGGATCAGTGCTGCAAGCAGGCATATGTAGCTTCTCCTCACTGTAACATTCAATCTCAAAAGCCACAGCGAGAGGGAGGGGGGCAAAGCCCCAAGCTCATGTGTGCAACATAAAGCAGAAGAACCAGATTCTGCTGCAGACATGGTTTGCTTTTCTTGACAAAGTTTTCTGAAATCTCTGCCTCAAAGCCTACGTTTCTGAAATGAACAGTTACGCAGAAAGCAGGTGATTACAGCAGGTCTGCACAAGGTGTGTGGGCGTCACAGGAGGGGCATAGCTTATGCAGGTGATGCTAGTCATTCACCTGGGAGGTGACTGTAAGATGCTGAGTGCATCGGGTCTGGGACATTGTTCCTGTGCTGCCTCTGGGACTAGGGACCAGGGTTTCTCCAATAGAGAGGTCCTTCACAGTGGTCCTCTGGGAAGTCAGGACAGCTGACAGGGTGAGAGTTTTTCTTGAGGTGTTGATGATGCACGATGTACAAAGCCCCATCAACTTTGCTTCCTGTTTTCTGCTGGTCCCTAATCCACTGCTAAGCCATAATCACTTTCCCCCTACTTACCATCCGAGGACAAAGGCTGCTGAGGTGCATACAGGTTGCCTAGCAAAATTGAAATGCAGCAAGTGAAATAAGGATAGGAGCTATTTGAAGACTATTCGTGCTGATTGTCTACAAAAAATGGGCCACAAGTGGAGAACAAAGGCTGATTAAAGAGGAGTGGTTAGAGTATAGGTAGAGACTGGATAGTACTTCAGGTGGGAGCTGCTGTCTGTTTACATGTGTGACAAAGGGCTCCCCTTAGTGAGCAAACTTATTCTATGCTACTGCAGTAGTAGCGTATGCATTAGATTGCCCCAGTGAAGCATTGCACAGTCCAATTGAAAAAGAAACCAGACTCGTGAGAGTTTTTCATTAAGAGTTTTGCTGCTAACCAAACCAGCCTCCGTATGACACAGAAGTCAGTTTCGGAAACTTTTAAGCCTCTAGTGATGTTGCATTATTTTTAAAGCATGATGCTATCCTCATACACAAAATAATGTCTAGCTTATAATTATTTTTGTTCATATGTACAAACCCCAGTAAAAAAAATTGAACACAATATACACACTGGGAAATATAATCCTGGAATATGTGTCAATAACATGATTGTTCTGTAAAATAATCCTGCCCACATTTCCCTTCAGAGATCTCTTCCTCTTGATGCGAGGTGTGTCCACATTGGAGACACTGGCTGCACGTTCCTGAGTCTCATTCTCTTCACTGCGGTCTGAGAGAGGAGTCAGGTCCATGTCCACATCTGTGTCATGAAAGCAGCCGTCGAAAGCCATTGCTTGCACTGCATCGATACTATACATTCCTGAAGCCTGTCAACAAAGAATAATTATTCTGCATCTAGCAGGAGCCATTTCAGTAAATTACAAATAAATAAAACAGAAAATAAAGAAGGCTTTCTCTTCGGTGTTGTGGAGAGCACAGGGAGAAGCACAGGGAGAACGGAGCTACCTCACAGTATTGCTATCTGTGGGGCCTGCCCCCTTGTGCAGGACATGAGCAAGGAAGGGGATCCATGCAATAGAACACATTTGTCTGACTGATTACTGCCAGCTCCTGGCTGGCAATATGTGCCCCAGCTTCTGAAACAGAAAAATCAAACTCTGCCTCTCCTGTAGGTCTGCATTGCTGGGGTTGTGGGAAATGACTTCAAACATTTCCATGAGCAGTTTTTTGATGGGATTGTCAAATCATGTGAGCAACATATGCACTCTTTTTGTGGTTTTGCGATATTCCAACAAATGAGTTTACATGGGGGGATATTCTTGAAGCAAAGGTTTTAAGTGAGTGCTTCATAGAAAACAAATGTTTAACTTGTGACCGTTTCTGCTTCAGGCACACTTTTTTAAAAATGATCTTGTCATTCATCTGATCTTGTGACAAAAGGGCATTATTAAACCCATCTTCCTAATTGAAAATGGCAAAGCAGGATAAGGAGAAATAGACTCTGCTTTACAGGAAACTGGAGGGAATATTACATGAGTACATTCTGGGGTATATTTCAGAGAGAGGAAAAATACCTTGACCAATAGGTATTTGAGAACAGAATAAAGGTTACCTTCCTCTGAGGGTGGGGTGGAAGGGAATCAGGATATGTACTCCCTAACCTCTGCCACAAGAAAAGGGAGAGAAAGCACAGACCTCAAGGTCTCCTCCCTTCAGCCAAGCATAGAAAAGTGAGATACACAGTGGAGTCACAGAGATGGTTACTGTACTGTTATCACAGTGGTGTATCAGGATTACTCTGTGGCTTCTGTGATGCTTTCTGAAGGCAACAAAACACAGAGGATTGTACCTTGCCCTTTTTTTTGAGTTGCTTTCTCTCTTCAATTGTGGTGAGATAGTTCACTGCTGCATATTCAATGACTGACAGGAAGACAAAAAGGAAGCTGATCCATAAGTACACATCCACAGCCTTTATGTAAGACACTTGAGGCATTGAGGCACTTACTCCTGTCATGATGGTAGACATTGTCAGCACTGTAGTTATACCTGCCAAAGAAAAAGGGGAGGTTATCAGAATACTGGCCAGCTCGTTCTGTTTAGCTCATCACTGTTGCTTGGGCAGCACAGCTTTGTGAGGGCATATGATTGACACTGCCTTTAACTTCATTGCACAGACTCTGAAAAGTGGAGTGAACCATGAAGGATGTATCACATACAATACTGAAACCAGTAAACCATCTCTCCGCTCGGTACGTGCAGTTAGAGCTGCAGCACACCAGGTTCAAACAGCGGGGACAGAACTCTGGTGATTTAGCAGCATAAGGAACACACTTCTGTGACAGCTTTAGGCACTGGTATAGAGAAGTGAAAGCAGATTTGTGGTCTTACTCACTTCCCAGAGCCAGGGTCTCCACTGCACACTTTCTTGTCCTGGAGAATCACTAAAGAATCCCTAATTTCCCTCCCAATCCCTTCTCAAATTGTACTTCTTGAGAACATATATCCACTTGTATGTTTCTGTCATAACTCTAGCTCTCTAAAACCACTCTAGCATGAAAATTATATATCCATCAAAACTAATAATTTTTTTTTTCACTTTAGTGTGTCCAGAATTTAACCTTCACCTTACCAGTTTCTCCCCTCTCACCCCAGGCCCTGCTTTTAAAGACATGATCGTAACACTGAAAGTGAAGACATCTCAATAACACCTGTGAGACAGCACTGGCTGATAGCATGGCCTTTTAGGTGAATTTCAGTTGTATGCTAAGTCAAGTCCACTGGAACATACAAGATTTTTCCCTCTCCCCCTCTGCAAGTTCCTTAGGTTGAAGGGTGAAGCTTGAAATATACCATATAAGAGGAAATCAATTTATTTAAAACATGCTATGGAGCTAAGCTTTTTAAACTTTGTTGTTAACATTGCTTATAAATTATGTATGCTTATGTTAATGAAATGTGCGTTATTCATTGAATTCCTGATGCATAACCTTCTGCAGAAATCCATATATAAATTAAAGAACATGATCAGCAAAACCATCTTGACAACATTACAAACGACCTACTGAGAATTAGAACTTTATATTTAAAGCTAAAGTTAAATTTCTTAGAAATAAAAGGAACTGGTAAATACATTAATAAAAGTAGGTAGGAGGTACCATAATTTGTTTTTAGACTAACAAATAGATTTATATATCAGGTAGTAATAGCTTTAGATTGCCAATAGAAAGGCATCTGAGGTAGCTACAGTCCTATTTTTTCTAGATTGATGTAGCTACAGACAAAAACTGAGGGCTCCCCTCAATACATGCACGTTTGTTTCTTAAACAAAGATCCTCAAATTTTCACTTGTCTAAGAAATATGGCAACATATAGCTGGCTTCTGGGGCTAGCATCAGTGAGAAGAAAGAACAGGAGCTTCTTTACTAATTCTTAAATGGACAGTTGCAGGACTCAAAAGCATTGTGGTTACAGTAGATATCTTAACAAATTTCCATCAGATCTTCACAGAGATGCTAATCTCTGAAAAATGGACTCATTCCAAGGCCATCAACATTATATTCCCAACAAAGGCAGTCTTCAAGTGGTATCAACTGATTCAGCACTGAGAAAAACAATAATGTTATAAAAAACCCCACTGTAATTAGTCTTTTTGTCCTGAGCTGTGGTGTTCAGAGTTAAACCAGTGAGAGCAGAAAGACGCCCAACTTACTCTTCAGCTTCCACAGAAGCCTGTGTGCCTTGCACAGCTAAGGCACCAAACCAAATATTTTAAAGGTGCCTAAAAAGAAAGGCTTTGCTACATAGGACAAGTCAGGAAACTGGTACCAAGTTGTCAAGAAGATATCAAATGTTTCTAGAGAGAGAGCAGAGCTGCAAAGCTTTTAGATAGATTGTGCTATGCCTATTAAGTACCTCTCCTGAATCATGGATTTGGGGAGGAATCTGACTACCTGTTACTACCTGTTACTTTGGGAACAGGTAGGAGGAAAAAAAAAAAAAAGTAAAATTCTGCATAGGGAAATCCACAGATTCTTCACTTTTTCCTTCTGTGGTGTGTGAGCTGTTTTCTGACATAGCAAAGCCAGTCTGAACAAACATTCCATTTCAAATATAGAGGTTGACTAAAAGCTTTGTGGTAGTGACAAGAGTGGCAGTAATAGCGTTGTTCAGGCAATTACCTGATAGACTTGCTCATGTCCTGTGTAAACAGGAAGCTAAGGCAACTTCAAAACCTCTCCCCTATCCATTCTATACTTCCCAAAACAATATATATTAAAGGTTTACCTAGTGATACCCTGGCAGGAACGGCTCTTCTGTCAATCCAAAATGAAACCCAAGATAGCATCACCATCAGCATGGCTGGGAAATAGGATTGTAGCACAAAAAAGAAAATATGTCTCCGGAGTGCAAAGTTTATAAAAAGTCGATTGTACCAACCTATCAAAAAAAAAGAGAGAGGAACAGGTTGGGGAAAAAGAGACCTGTGTTATTTGTGAGCTCTATTCACTAGCCCCCTCCTTCCAGTAGGATTGCTGTATCCACATCAGTAATAGTAAGTGCCTAAGAATATTGCTACCACCTTGGTTTTGTATAGTGCTTTGCGAACTGTCCATCATACCTCATTAAAATACTGCTGCCTTGGGAGTGAAGCATCACGACTGCATAAATAAAATACTATATTATAATTGAGGTTAGGAAATTGAAAAAAAATTGAAAATAGACTTCAAGTGAAACTGCCAGGAGAATACAGATGGAATATAATTGTCCAGTCCAGGACAGTGAAGCCAACACCCTGCTTCCCCCAAAATGTACCCTGCCTTCTCTCACCCTACAAACATCCAGCCACAAGCAGCACTTCCTTTCCTGTGGTCAGACTGGTGCTGACTTTAGAGGAAAGTGTGCCATCTAGTGAATTTTGGGGCATGCTCTGACTGTGCAGCAAAGCATGGGCGCTGTACCTCCTGTGATGGGAGGGAAATCCGTTTATAGTGAGGTGAAAAGAAGACAAAAGTGGCCGGCTGTGCAGAATCTGCCAATATAGAGACACCAATGAGCCTGTGTTGGAGCAGTCATGCCATCACATGCCTGGAGACCAGGCAACTCCAAAATCCTAAATGCTATGTATGAGCAGTTCACTGAGATTTACAGGAAAGGATATGCAGAACCTAAAATGCATAAAGCTGCTTTGTGAGCAGCACTTTTGTCCATTTTTTTGCTCGAGACTCTTCAGGGGGAGATGGTTCCCATTAGAGTTGTGCTGATTGTTCCCCACTATTACTTACTTTGGAGGGCGGGGTCTGTGTAAACATTTTCTTCCAACAAGAAGCAAAATAAAAAGAACAAGAGAAAGTGGAACCTCCCGACTGAAACAAAACCTCAAAGACAAAGAAAAGCGTATGTCTACAAAGGGCAGTCTTCTAATTAACAAATACGGTACACGCATTATTCAGGTACTTCCCAGTGGTCCCTGAGACTTAGAAAAAGTCTTTCCTTTCACCTTTACCCTGCTGAGTAAGCTCATCACTAAAACATCTGCATGTAAGTGTTAAGCAGTTACACTTTGCAAAGTCGAAGGTGCTGTGAAGGTGCTGCGAAGGCCTGGGTACAGGGGTGGTATGAGGTTGCACTGTTATGCACCAGGCGGTATTTGCTTGCGTGTTTTTTGATGAGAATAGCAAGGCAGAAAGAAGCCAGCTGAGTTCCTGGAACTCGGGTTCAACACACAATGATAGCAGTTTGGTGGAAAACATCCCAGTCTCCTTGCAACAAGAACAAATTTGACGTAGGTCTCAGCAAGGCACAGTTACGATAGTAACATATCACTCAACCTCTTCTCACATGACAGTGGCTCTTGAAAGCTGGAGCTCTGTTCTTAGCTCATAGAAGTGCAAGAGATAAGGATGAAGAACCTGATAAAGTTGTGAATTCCTCACTGTTTAGGTTGCATCATAATTCAAACTGGAACACCTGCACTTAATATTAGCCACTGCAAACTTGAATGGCTCTTTTTTAAATGCAAAAAGAAGCTATCCTGTAAATAAAACACAGAAAATAAATCTATTTGCAGTTTTCCTGTATGTCTTAAAGGCTCTTTTCCCAAGTATTATGCATTTCATCATATTATATGGAATAATTTCTATTTTATTATTCTGCGTAGATATAAAGGGCAATATCCACACTGAAATGAACTGACTCAGACTGGGAAGTACAGTAGCAAGCATGCTGTTTTATCTGGTTAAAAACATATGGTTAGACTACTTAGATAGAGAAGTATTTCAAAATTTATAATTGCATGTACAAATACAAAGAAAATAAAACCCACTTTGTGTGAAATCAAGACTATAATAAACTCCTAAAGCCTTGTGCAGTTTGCCAGAAAGTATAGTTCAAGATCTATAGGGAGAAATAAAAACCTGTCTGGGGCAGATATGTTTGTTTAAACAATGTAGCACTGATATAAAGGGATTTTTTTTCCTGCAACTTTATGTATAAACATGGAGCATTAAGCAAACCATGAATTAGACCTCAATAGGTTATAAATACTCTCATGCAGAAATCTTATACTTAGTAGACTTTTACTGACATTTTACAGCTCCAAAAATGAGGAGTTTCTAGACAATAAAACACACTGGGGTTCCTCATTAGTTTTCTAGTACTTGACACTTTAGGGTTTGTATTTTCAAGCTTTTCTATATAACCAGGACCCAAAGACTCCTGTAAACCCAGTATTCCAGTGGCTTTCAGAGAAGAACCACAATTTTGCAAGAGCTCACAACAGCATATATTTGGTTGTTGTGCATCTTTTTCAGGTTCTTTTTGTCAGATGTTAAGTTACAATTATTATTATGGCATCTTCTTCTACTATCAAGAAAGTGTTACAATGGCAATATAAAGAGAACTGAGGACCTAGGCCAACAGACCAGTGTGATTGACAGACCTCATTTTAACTGAGATTTCTCAGCAGTAGCAATCATTTATTAGCTATGAATTTAAATGTGAAAGACATTCTGCATGATTGTGTCCTGTGCTTCTCTCTTTTAATGACAGGGGCTTACTATACCAGTACTGCTGTAAAAAGCTAGTCCACTGGAAGCACTGAATTCTTCAATGAAGAACTGGGAGAGGGAGATTTGCTCATCTGTGGTCAGGGACTTGTTTCCATGTTTCCAGTATAACATCAGATCATCTTCATTGTATGCATCTACGAGAAAGTAAAAACTAAATCACCTCTTCTGCTGGAATAATACTTCTGTTTTCTTTTCTTAGGGATAGGAAACCACTCAAACGACTTAGGAAAATCCCAGAGAAACATTTTTTTCACATCAATTTGCCAGTTAGTTGACATGGAAAAATTTGCAAAGACCATATTCCATCTTGTTCCGAGTGGAGCCCAGTCCTGTGCCCTGCCAGTAGCTTACCTGACAGATGGTCAGAGGGCTGGAGGACCTCCCCTATGAGGACAGGCTGAGGGAGTTGGGCTTGTTTAGCCTAAAGAAGAGAAGGCTCTGGGGAGACCTTATAGCAGCCTTCCAGTACCTAAAGGGGGCTACAGGAAAGATGGGGAGGGACACGCTTTATCAGGGAGTGTAGTGATAGGAAGGGGGGTAACAGTTTTAAGCTGAAAGAGGGTAGATTTAGATCAGACATTAGGAAGAAAATTTTTGCTGTGAGAGTGGTGAGACACTGGAACAGGTTGCCCAGAGAAGTTATGGATGTCCTACAACTAGATGATCTAGATGATGAACTAGGTGAAGAAATAGATGATCTTTAAGGTCGCTTCCAACCCAAACCATTCTATGATTCTATGGGGGACATGTGCATGCTCAGGGTCACAAGGCACATACGATCAGAGGTCTGGAGATGCCGCACTGAGCAGACTGCCTGAACACTGGGGATCTGTTCACTTTTCCAAGACTAAACAACAAACCAGCATCCCAGTTTTACTCTTAATCCAAATACGAATAAATTTTGAGATATCAAAATGCTCTGCAAAACAGAATTACCTTTTGTTGTCCAGCTCTACAGCTTACTACAGACAACTGAGTCGGGGGTGAGAAGGCAGACATTTCACAGTGACACAAGCACTGATTTTCAATTTTCTATGAGGTCAAATATTGACATGTTATTTTAATTTAATTTAAAATAAAT